AGCCCCAGTGGATAGTTGTATGTCGTAGCTGCACATCCTTCTAGTTGCTGTATGCGGGACTCGGCCTCAGGATGAACGGAGAAGTGGTGCCTCGATGCACACCCGGGATCCGAACCCGGGCCACCAGCATCGCAGCGCGCGCACTTAACCACCAAGCCACAGGGCCGGCCCTGTATTACATTGATTTTTGTATTTTGAATCACGCTTGCATTTCTGGGATAAAGCCCACTGGCCATGGTGTATAATTCTTTTAATATGTCATTGGATTCAGTTTTCTAGTATTTTGTTGAGGATTTTTGCATCTATATTTGTAGATATAGGTCTGTAGTTTTCTTCTCTTGTCATGTCTTTGTCCGGCCTCCTTATCAGGTAATGCTGGCCTCATAGAATGCATTACAAAGTGTCTCACCCATTCTATTCTTTGGAAGATTTTGAGAAGGATTTATGCTGATTTTTCTGTAATTATTTGGTAGAATTCATTAGTGAAGCCATCTGGTCCTTGGATTTTCTCTGTTGGAAGGTTTTTGATCACTGATTCAATTTCTTTACTCATAGCTCTGTTCAGCTTTTCTATTTCTTCTTGAGTCAGTTTTGGCATTTGCCTATCTAGGAATTTCTCCATCTCATCTAGATTATCTAATTTGTTGGCATAGCATTGCTCATAGTACTCTCTTATAATCCTTTTTATTTCTGTAAGATCAATAGTAACGTCCTCGCTTTCATTTCTGATTAAGTTATTTGTATCTCACTGTCTTCTTAGCCAGTCTAGCTAAAGGTTTGTCAATTTTGTTGATCTTTTCAAAGAATCAACTTTCGGTTTTGTTGATTCTCTCTATTGTTTCTCTATTCCCTATTTAAGTTGTCTCTGCTCTAATTTTATTATTTCCTCCCTTCTGCTGACTTTGAGTTTAGCTTGCTCTTTTTTTTTAGTTTCTTAAGGTGTTTTTATTTTATTGATTTGAGATTTTTCTTCTTTTAAAAATGTAGGCATTTACACTTATATATTTCCCTTTATGCACACTGCTTTTTTTGCATCCCATAAGTTGGTATGTTGTGTTTTCATTTTCAAAGACTTCCATCTTTCATAAAAAATTTATATCTGGAGTGTGTTATAGTGCATGGTTTGAGGTAGGCATCCATTTCACATCAATTTTCCATTATTTGAGTGGTGCTTTCCTTTCCCAGGTACCTGCTCTGCCACCTCTGTTCTCTAAATAGTTAACTATGTTTCCCAAAGTTCTGTTTTAGAAATAGTGCTCATGAATAAGTATTAGAGAAGTGAACTCCCTTTATGCATAGGCATATCTTTAGTCACTAATTCTATTCAGCTTTTGTCTTTAGTTTTTCACTTCCTGTAAAACTTGTGGTTTCCCCAAACTGAGGTTTCTTGGTGATAAGTTTCCTCCATCTTCCCCACCAGTCAGAGCCCTGCTGATCTCAGAGTTTGTCTTTAATATACCACTGTTCACAAAAACAGTGGACCTCCTCCTGCTGGCTGCAGGGCACTTCCCGTCCTTTTCCCTCTGTCCTTTCCTACTTTATCCCTACCTGGAAGTCTCACGGGAGAGGCTGGGCTCAGAGAGGGGAGGCCCAGGACCATCCAGCCCAGAAGAAGCCAGGCCTCTGTACTCACAGCCACTGCTCTTTCAACCACGCAGCATCCTGAGGGAGACATCATGGTGCAGAACACAGGGTGAGGTTCTCAGTTTTCTGAGGTTCTCAGGCAGAGGGTCAGCAGGGAAGGTGGGCTGGGCCAGAGGGTGGTTCTGCGAGGACCGGGCTCAGAAACTGAGGAGGAAGCTGGCTGTGGGGCAACCATGTCCCTGGGGTCCCAGGTGTGAGCCAGGCCACAGGAGCCCAGGTGTGCCCTGGGGCAAGATAGAAGCCAGGCAGTCCTGGGCCTGGCCCAGCCCTGAGCCTGCAGTGGGGGCTGGGTCCTGGAGGCGGGGCTGGGAGGTGCTTGGTCAGTGCTGGTGGTCAGAGCCAGCCGCCAACACTCAGGACAGCATTGCCTGGGCCCTCTCCTGGTCTTCCACTCACAGCCACGGTCCTCCCAGGTGGTCCCGGCGCCCCAGAGGCTGCGTCTGGTGCAGAGGAGCTGCCACCTCCCTTCTCTGGTGAACTCCGGGGCCCGGCAGATCCTCAGGTAGCCGCCCCTCCTTCCTCGATTCCAAGGCCACTCAGGGACCCACAAGAACAGGCACAGCCCTTCCTACACCCCCCACTCCAGGGCTCCCACCAAAGCTGCTCTTGGTTATCAGCAGAACCTCCACTCTCCAAAGGAATGTCTGCACAAATTATCCCCCTCAGGGCTCTTTCTTCACCCTAACCACTTCCCCAGGCGGGTGAGAGGCCCAGACACATAGGCATGGTTCTTGGACACCATTTGGAAACTGCATTTCTTCTGGGCCTCATTTTGCTGTCTGATTTCTGTCATCTCAGCGTCTCAGATGGAGTGGAGTCAGGACAAGTCCCATTTTAACACCATGTGCATGTTTTCATTCTGCTTAAAAAAGAAATTGCTGCAAGAGCATTTATCTCTATGATTACACGTCACACGAATAAAAACTCCTTATACTCATGAGCCCTCAGCATCCTACTGCACATCATCACATTCATTCCAGGGGCTGGAGTGGCTGGGAGAGACCATCATCCCCATTATGGAGAAAGAGGGGATCTGAGAGGAGATGGCCTGCTCAGGCCTGTGGCTGGTCAGCGGCCCACGGGGAGCCAGGCCTGCAGAGGACCTGGTGGTGCCCGGCTCATCGTCCTGCTCCACCTTTCTGGGGACAAGCTCCCTGGGCCTTGTCACCTCTTGAGTGGTCTTGTCAATGGGAAGTGATAGATTTGAACTGCCCTTCATTATCATAAGGAAATTACTGGAAATATGGAAAAAACTTCTGGTTCACATACATCTGTAAGAGCATTAGTTACAATAGGAGGAAGCGGAGATCCAACTGTCTGACGCGGAGAAGTTGAGGGAAGTTACTGTCCTGAGCCTGCAAAGTTGGGAGCAATGCCTGGTGCATGGTGCTAAGTAAGAGGATAGATCTTACATTAGATGGTCTTATCACACAAAAGGAGGGGACGGTTAGAGGCGATGGTGAAGTTTGTGGCGACCGTTTCACGGGTGCATACTTATCTTCAAACTCACCAAAATGTGTACATCGAATGTGTACAAGCTTTGTGTGTGTCAACCTACCTCAATAATAAAAAAGAAAGAAAGAAACAAGAGCTTAGAAGTGCATCTGTGGAGTGAGCCCTAAAAGTCAACAGGAATGGAGGATGTGACACACCAAATCTTCACACTTGTCTGTGCTTTGAGAAACTTTCTTCTACTTCTACGTCTTCCAAACGCCTAGAGTGTTATTACACTTGGAAAAATAGGGTCTTTGAACCAAAGAGAAAGCAGATCTCTGTGCTTTCCCGACAAGCCCTGCAGTGGGTGCTGCTAACTGACGAGGCCCCGCTCCTGCTCTGGGGAGCCCACCACCAGCTTCTAACGAGCTCCCAATTGGGGGCAGCCCAGACGCCTGTGAGGCAGGGGCCCCACAGCGACAGTGGAGTCCCCAGTGTGGAGTGACAGTTGAGGCCCGAGCATGGCCGGCTGGGGTCACCGCTCCTCCTGGCTGCCATCGTGCCCCTTGTCCCTGGGGCCTCGTCAGGACCTGCTCTGACTAATGCCCACCCCACAGCACTGATGGGGGAAATAGGCTGAGGGTGGGTGGTCACAGTCCCACCACCTCCCAGGACCCCCACCCCAGACAGCTGAGTCCCTGCCACCCAGGCGCAGGCCCGTGTGACTAACTGCACGCAGCCCTGCCCATGGCTGTGAGCCCAACTCCACATCCCCCTGAGTGTGCCCCACAGGTGTGCCCCACAGGTGTGCTCTGGAGCCCCCGAGGCCAATGCTCGCAGAGCCCAGAGGGTGGGCTCTCGCCTAAAGCCACCTGGCTGACAGCGGTTCCTTCCCTTTGTCATAGCTTCTTCTTGGCCACAGTGGGCTCGGGGTCCCCACCTCGGGGAGCAGCCCAGGGGGGACCAGGCAGGAAATAGCCCCCAGCTTGGAGCAGCATTTCCAGAAGGCTTGAGTGGGGGTATAGAGTGGGGACAGCCTATCGACCTGTGGGCCATCATCACTCCGTTTACAGAGGGGGAAACTGAGGCACAGAGCACCTGCTAACAGCACCCAGCATCCAGCATCCAGCCAGCCCATGCCCTGGGGTGTACAGGGTACCGCCCCTCCCCCCCCCCTGCCAGATGCTATCACTGTGTGGGCTCCCTGCTCAGGACACTGCCCTTGGAGACAGACCCGGCATGGGCTGGGCCCTGGGGCAGATGCACTTGGGTTGTGGGTGAGAAGCGGCTGCCAAGTGCAGCCCAAGGGCAGGAGGCCCCACTCAGGATGCTGGGTGCCACCCGGGACACCCTTGGGCCCCTCCTCAGCCCCCAGGGCCAGGCTCTTGCCAGCTGTGTAATCAGCAATATGGTCCTTGTAGGCCTGAGCCTGAGGGAGGTGGGTAGAGAGCAGAAGTAACCCAAGTGTCAGAGGGCTGCCAGCTGGGCACAGGGCTCACCCTGCTGCTCTCTCCACTGGTGGGTGGACAGGCCCGGTGCTGTCCAGGGTGGGGAATCCCCCTTGCTGCCCTGTGTCAGATGCGTTTGCTGGGCCGTGAGCTGGAGTGCCAGTGGCCTCTGGTCTGGGCTCCTGGCCAGCGTGCTAGCCGACAGCCAGCAGGACTTGGTGCAGATGCTGCCCTGGGAGAGGTGGGCGGCAGGTGCCGCGTGGCCACGATTTGAGACGAGAACAGCAGCCTGAGGATTGTGACAACAGCAGAGGCGCCGCCGGCTTCCTTCCTGTGAGGTGGGGCCGGGGCAGCCTCCACGTCCGTGTCCTGGGGTCTGCACTGAGCTGGGCCAGTGCTGGCCACTCTGAGTGACCAGTCAGGGTCACTGGGCAGAGCAGTCTTGCAGACCTGGGGCAAGAGCAGTGGTCTGAGAGACTGCACTCAGGCCCAGTGTTGATGGACGGTCAGGTGCCTTCCTGGGCAGCAGAAACCTGCCTTCTGGCCACTGCCATAGACGTGCTGGAGCAGCAGAGGGTCCAGAGCAGCCCATGACCCCCACCCGTTCCTTCTCGCCACGTCTCCAGGAGCTGGGCAGCAGAAAGCAAGTGTTCCGCCAACAGGGGACCCTCATCGGCAAGTCAGAGGGTCAGCCTGCCAGAGGCAGTACACCACCCCGGGGGCGCAGCCCTGCCTGGAGGGTGCTCAGTGTCGTCCCATGCTCATCCTCCTGGTCTCCAGGCTGCTTCAGGGGGACACGTCCTGGAGCCTGTCAGACCCCTTGGATCAGTGACCCCCAACCACAACGAGCCCCCACGAGCTGACCTCCAGGTAGATTTCCCCACACCCCTCCCCCATGAGGAGCAGGGTGCCTCGGGGCAGCCCACGTGGGCTTACTGGGGGACACTCTTTTACTCCTCTCTTCTCTGAGGCTCAGGAGGCCCTTACAAGATGCAGAGGATTTGGTGAGATCTGGGTGTTCTCCCCTGGCACAGCAGGGCTGGTCCTGACACACGTGTGGGCATGTGCGCAGACACACCGGCACTTGGGGGAGCAGACCAGTCGTCCTCGTCTCCAGGGCACAGGAGGAGCCGCTCATAAGCGGCAGCATGGGAAATTGGGACAGGAGGGTTGTTAGGGATCCAGAGAGGGCAAGCCTTGCTGAGGTTTCTTTTCCTTTGAGCCCTTGAAGCCATAATCTTCAACAGCAGAAGGGTTTTCAAAAGGAGAGGCTCGTCCCCAATCAGGGCTGAGAAAATAGCCCCCATCCCTGGTCAGGGGACCGGACGTCACAGGCAGAGCAGCTCCCCCTGCAGCACTGCTCCCTGTGGCTGCAGCGGGTGGGCCCGAGAGCAGTGGGGCCCAGGACCCCGCGCAGCCCGCAGCCCGTGTGGGGTCTGTGCCCACCGGCTTTCAGAAGAGGGGCAGGAGCAATTGCCCTCCAGGAAGCTGTGTTACGTGTGGGGAAGGGGGCTCTGCTAAAAGTACTGCTCCTTCCAGGACGGCCCAGGGTGGTCCCACTCCTGGGACCTGGGGGCAGGGGGCACTGGCCTTGTCTGCACCGCTGAGACCCCCTCTGGAGTTTTGCTTTTGTCTGAGCACCGATGCAGGGCTGCATGGCCAGGAGAGGCAGAGGCTTGCAGCCAGCGCATGTGTCTCAGGGACGTGGCTACAGCGTGGGCCATTTTGTTACTGATTGTAGCTGTGGGACTGGGGAGGGGACGCAGCCAAGGGACCCCCAAATCCATTAGCAACAGGGGTGAGTGCTCCAGAGGGCAGAGGGCTGGCCCAGATAGTGTGAGTGTGCACGCACGTGTGAGCACAGATCCACGAGTTTTATGCTGTGCCCATGTGTGAGTGTGCACAGGCGCGTGTGGTGTGTGCAAGCGTGCAAACCGGGGGAGAGGAAGGGGCTGGGCAAAAAACTGCATGTGGTTGCGGTGGCTCCTGAGCGCGGTCCTCCCCAGATCCCTAACATCTGGACACCGTTCGGCGGAAACTTTTACCGGCCGGGCCCCTCCTGCCTCTCTGTGGCTGCTGGTTCCAGGCTCCATGTCCGTGGGGTCTCTGCCCACCTCAGCCCGGCCACCGCCTCGGAGACTCATAGGGTGCCGTCGGCCCGGAGCAGCCGGCGGGCCCCGGGTTCCGGGGAATGGGCTGCTGGAGGTACTGAGGGGCTGAGCGCGGCGCCCACTGACACCCTCCCCTCGCGCGGCAGCCCCGCGCCCGCGCGTCCACCGGGTCCCGCCCACTGCTCCCCTCCCTCCCTCGCGGGCGCCACCCGCCGCCCACCTGCGACCGTCCTCCCCCGCCCCCGTCCCCCAGCCTCCAGCCAGGAGCGGGCGCTGGTGACAGCTGTTTGCAATGTCGCATGTCGGGGGCTACCTCTGGAGGTTGTCGTCCTTGTGGGGGGGTAGAGGCTACCGGGCACAGAGATAAGAGTGTTCTACTAGGAATCAACCTGGTTTGTTGCACGAAAATGCTAACAACCGGGCCATACATAATTTCATTTGCGAAAATTTGACACTTCCTGTCCTTTCCCAGGCTTCTTGAGTCTAGACTAAGGACCACCCCCACCCCCAACAACCAAGGAATCTAGAATAGGGACCCATCCACCCAGGTGCACCGCTCACCCGCGTCCACGCCGCCCTCTGAGCTGCTTCCCCCGAGGAGGACGTGTTCATGCCCACCGTCCACTCGCTCCCACGGGCATGCTAGGCCTGGCTGGGGTCCTAGGATTATTGGACAAGGTGAGTAGACCCCAAAGGGAGCGGGGAAGGGCCGACCCCTCCGTTCCTGAGCCCCCAGAGAGAGATCCGGGCAGGAGGTCGCTCTCACTGGCCTTGGTGGTCTATGTCCCACAGGCTTCATGGCCTGGGGCCGCAGCCAGAACCTCTCCACGCAGGCGCCGTTCATCCTGCTGGGCTTCCCGGGGCCGCAGGGCCTGCGCGCGGGGCTCTTCCTGCTCTTCCTGGTCACGTATGTGCTCACGGTGGCCGGGAACCTGGCCATCATCTCCCTGGTCGGCGCTCACCGGCGCCTCCAGACGCCCATGTACTTCTTCCTCTGCAACCTCTCCTTCCTGGAGATCTGGTTCACCATGGCCTGCGTGCCCAAGGCCCTGGCCACCTTCGCCTCGCGGAGCGGAGCCATCTCCTTCGCTGGCTGTGCCGCGCAGATGTACTTCGTCTTCTCGCTGGGCTGCACCGAGTACTTCCTGCTGGCCGTGATGGCCTACGACCGTTACCTGGCCATCTGCCTGCAGCTGCGCTAGGGTGGCATCATGACGCTCGACCTCTCCGCGCGCCTTGCCCTGGGCGCCTGGCTGTGCGGCTTCTCCGCCATCGCCGCGCCCGCGGCCCTCATCGCCCGCCTCTTCTTCTGCGGCTCGCGCGTCATCAACCACTTCTTCTGCGACATCGCACCCTGGGTCGTGCTGTCCTGCGGCGGCACGTGGGTGGTGGAGCTGGTGTCCTTCGGCATCGCCTTCTGTGACATCCTAGGCTCCTGCTTCATCACGCTCGTCTCCTACGCCTACATCATCGCCGCCATCGTCAGGATCCCCTCGGCGCAGGGCCGGCACAGGGCCTTCCACACCTGCTCCTCCCACCTCGCGATGGTCCTCATCTGGTATGGCTCCACCGTCTTCCTGCACGTGAGGACCTCGGCGGAGAGCTCGCTGGAGCTGACCAAGGCCGTGACGGTGCTCAACACCATCGTCACCCCAGTGCTGAACCCCTTCATATACACCCTGCAGAAGAGGGACGTCAAGGAGGCTCTGCGAAGGTGGGTGCAGGGGAACTGAGCCCCCTAAACGGCTCTGCAGGGCTGGACCGCAATTCCTCCGTCCTCGAGGCTCAGTTCTTGGCACCACTCTCTGAGCGGCTGAAAGCAGTGCCCTGGTGTCACCGTGTGGACCCGGCCCTTGGGCGGCAAGGGGCTCTGGCCATGCTCTGCAGTCCGTCGAGGGCTGCGTCAGAGCGCCATCCTGGCCCCGGGGGGTTTCGTTCCTTTACAGGCCTTGCCAAGCCGTGCTCAGACCCCCCAGGGTTCCAGAGATGGATTCTGGAAGAGCAATGGGAACACGCGGCCCTGGAGAAGCACCACATGTACTGCAGACATCCACGGCCCACACCTCAGTGATGTCTCCTGAGCCATCCCTTACTAGTGGCAGGGGGGTTGTTGGTGGCCGAGGAGGGTAACCATGGGAGTGAGAACTCAGAGAAATACGTGTGTCAACCTCTTTGAGGAAGCCTGGCGGCCTGTGGGGGCTGTTTGGGATCAGTGTGTGGGTCTGCCTCACTTGGAGGAGTCTCAGAGCATGCCCACCAGGTCTTACACCCTCCTGGGGCCTGAACTGTGGGACCTGTGGCATCATGGGGGCAGAGGCCTGGTCCGGCCCATTGACTGTCATTATTTATTGTCAGAGCAGCACACACAGGGTTGGAAGCACAGGCTCCGAAGCTGGATGTCTGGATCCAACCCTCTGCCAGCATTACCCTCTGAACCTCTGTGTCATCATCTATAAGTGGGGTTGTGAAACTGCGATCTTAGAGAGCGCTTTGAGTATTAAATGAGTTAACGTGTCTACAGTGCCTAGAACAGGGCCTGACGGGAGCAAGCACTCGGAAATGTTATTGTTACTGTTATTTGCATGCTTAGCAGATAAAACAGTGCACAGGCTGTCCCCTTGTCTCTCTCCTGTCACTTCACACATGGGTCAGGCAGGACTAATGGATGCCGTGTCCTCAGCCCAGTGTCCATCCTGGTTGCCCAGCCACCTGGGGCCTCAAGAGAACTGGACCCTCTCCTGCCAGCTGGACCAAGAGTGAGGGTGGCTGCCTGGACTTGGTAGTGCTGTGTGGCACTGAGTGAGGCTCAGCCACGAGCCGTCCGGGAGCTGTGGCCACCGTGTCCACCCAGGACCACAAACCCTGCCCCAGTTCTCACCCAGGGACAGGCAGGAGGCATGAGCTGGTTAAGCCAGACCAGCCTGGTAGGGGGCTGAACCAGCACCGCCATGCAGAGGGTCCCTGAGCCCAGCCGGCCTGGTGATGCTGGCCATGCTCGGGGGTGGGGTGGGGGGCTGTGGGGCGTGCTGGGGGGTTGGAGCTCACCACAACCGAGCGCATCAGGGCCTGGGCCTTCTTGTAGGTGCACTGCCCCCTCAGTCTTGGCTCAAGCACCACTTCCTGGGTTCCTGGAAGAGCCCCCCATTTAAAACTGCACCCACCCTCACCAGCAGCCCTGGTTCAGCCGTGCGCCTTCAGGGTCTGACACCCACGTGCCTTGTCACCTTATCACACTCTCTCCTCGAGAAGGAAGCCCCACAGGGAAGGGGGTTCTGGCAATTTATCCTCTGCAGTGACGGGTGCCTAGAATGGGGCGGATGCCCATGGGTTCCCATAAACACCTGTCTAGTGGGTTGAGGAGCCATCTCCCACCAGTGGGAAGAAGTTGGAGTTTCTGGAGGCTCCCCTTCCCCGGGGCCAGAACAAAAGGACACATTTATCTCTCTTGGACTCGTACACTCTGTCATCTACAGCTGATGACATGTGTCATCTTTGTGCTTTTGTGAAGTTATGTTCCAAATAATGAATTAAAGAGCATTCACATTTAATGGGTTCATGTCTTTGCTAAGCTGATGGGTAAATTAGGAACACCCCAAATTAGCATGGCATGTCATGCTCACAGCCACATTTGAGTTCACAGCTCAGAGTGACTTAGTGATGGACTGGCCTGGGGCAGGGAAAGGAGGGAGACAAGGGGAGGGTCCAGTAACTTTATTGCTGTGGCACCAGAGCCCAGAGAGGCTGACTGACCCTCAAGGCCACACAGCGGCAGCAGCCTGAGCCCACCTCGGTCCACTGGCCTTTCAAGCGGAGGCAGCCCGAGTTCTCACAGATCCTTCACTCTAGGTTCCTCTCCCAGGAGGTGAGGCCGGTGCGGTGGGTGACCCCAAGGGGTGGCAGGTGGGGGGATCCATCAGGGTCCCTCCACCCCACTGCACCCCTTGGTCCCATGTCCTCAGCTGATCCTGGAAGAGTTCTCCGAAGGCTCCTCTGCTCTGGGGAGTGGACTCCAGCACTTCCCTGTCCCCCTTGGTGTGGGTTAGGGCTCCAGGGCAGCGGGCAGACGCCCTTGTCTGTCCTGGCCCTGAGCATGGCCTCGACCATGCAGACTCGACCTGACCAAGCCACTTCCAAATGCCTGGTGTCCCCGCTCACGTCAAGGATTTTCCTAGGCTGAGGACCAGGCTCCCCTCCCTCTGTCTCTTGGTTTCTGGAGGTACACGGCGTGCCTCGCCGAGCAGGTCCCGGGGAACCTCAAGCCCCTCTGCTTCGGCCCTGGGCTTGCTCCCTCTTCTTGCCGAGGGACGGTGACTCCCACAGGGGCCGTGCCGGCGCAGGATGGCTCCAGGTTCCACCGGCCGCACCTGTCGTGGGCTTCCCTCTTGGGAATGCGGCCATTGCTCGGAGTTGCTGCTCAGGTTTAGGAGCTAGGTGGTTTCTAAAAGCAGAAAGGGGCCGCCATCTAATCATCATTTAGTGTCAGTGCAGGAGGCAGAGAAGCTCAGCTGGCCCCAGGACGGGGCAGGTGCAGGGTCTTTGCCGTCACTCGGCCTGGGAGGATTCGAAGCCCTTTAGTGATTACTCTCGGGGAGAGGGGTGTGGAGCCGGGCTCCGGGGCCCAAGGGGGTGATCTCCGTCACACTGCTGACCTCCCCAAGCCCCCACTTTGTCACTGCAGGTGGGCGAGGATTGCAGGGTATCAATACCTGAGAGGTGCCCAGTGTTAGCACTTGCTCCAAAGTGTTTATCCTTCAATGACCTTTGTGTAGGTTTTGTGACTCAGCAAGTCGCATGAAGACAAGGCCTCAGTGACCTGGTGCTGGTCGTGGACCTTCCTTGGTAAAGTTTGGGCTCTAAAACGGGCAGTTCTAGAAAGAGCAGGGGAAAGCTCCAAATTAGAGATCTCACTTCACATTCAGTTCAAACGTTGTGCACTTTGAATTGTCAGTGTTCCTGTCAGCCGTGAGAAGCTGAGACTCACCTTGGGGCTTGTGAACGTGCTGTCCTGGGCTCCTGCCTCAGCGCCTGCTGCAGAATTCCAGGCCCTTGAGCCCCGCGAATCTCGGCTCTGGGGTTTTTCTGGGTCCTCAGCAAGTCAGTGAAGGAGAGTGAGACTTTTAGCACTTCCTGCTGTTTTCATCCTTCTCTCCCTTTCTAGGTGAAAAAAATTTTCATGGTGATTTTTAAATGAGTAGACTTATTTTAAAAGCAGTTTTAGGTTTATAGAAAAATTGAGCAGCAAGTTCAGCAAGTTCCCACATAACACCTCCGCCCCCCAGTTTTTCCTTGTTAACATCTTGCATCAGTGTGGGGTATATATGTTACAATTGAAGAAACAATATTGAAACATTATTATTAACTAAAGTCCATGATTTACATTAGGGTTCACTCGGAGTGTTGTACATTCTATGCGTTTTGACAAATGCCTATATCGTGTATCCACCACTACAGTGTCACACAGAATAGTTCCATTGCCCTAAAAATCCCCTCTGCTCTGCCTGTTCATCCCTCCTCCCCTCCTTCCCGAGCCCCTGGCAACATCTGGTCTTTTTACTCTCTCTATAGTTTTATCTTTTCCAAAATGTCATATAGGTGGACTCATACCATATGTAGTAGTCTTTTCAGACTGGCTTCTTACACTAAACAATATGTATTTAAGCTTCCTCCATGTCTTTTTGTGACTTGATAGCCCATTTCTTTTTTATTACTGAATAATATTCCATTGTCTGGATGTACCACAGTTAACTTATCCATTCACTTATTGAAGAACATCTTGGTTACTTCCAGGTGTCACCAATTATGAATAAAGATGCTATAAAGATTTGTGTGCAGGTTTTTGTGTGGATGTAAGTTTTCAACTTAATTTTGTAACAAACTGCTCAAACTATCTTCCAAAGTGGCTGTACCATTTTGCATTCCCACCAGCAATGAATTCCCACGTGTTGCTACACATCTTTGTCAGCACTTGGCGTTGCCAATGTTTTGGATTTTAGTCTTTCTACTGGGCGTGTAGTGATATCTCATGGTTGTTTTAATTTGCAGTCCTTAATAATCATCTTTTCGTATGCTTATTTGCCGTCTGTATATCTTCTTTGGTGGGGTGTCTGTTCAGGTCTGTCTCCCATTTTTAAATTGGGTTGTTTGTTTTCTTACTGTTAAGTTTTAAGTGTTCTTTGTATGTTTTGGATACAAGTTCTTCATCAGATATATGTTTTGCAAATATTTTCTCGAAGCCTGTAGTTTGTTTTTTCATTCTTTTAACTGTGTCTTTTGCAGAGCAGAAGTTTTTAATTTTAATGAAGTCCAACTTGTCAACTTTTTATTTTATGGATTGTACTTTTGGTGTTGTATCTTAAAAAGTCATCAACAAACCCAAGGTCACCTCAATTTCCTCTTATGGTACCTACTGGAAGTTTTATAGTTTTGCATTTTACATTTAGTTCTTGGATCCATTTTGAATTAATTTTTTGGTGAAAGGTATAATGCCACTGTCTAGATTCTTTTTTTTTTTTTTTTTTACATGTGGATGACCAGTCGTTCCAGCACCATTTGTTGAAAAGACTATCCTTTCTCCATTGAATTCCCTTTGCTCCTTCATCAAAGAATAGTTGACTACATTTGTGTGGGTCTGTTTCTGGGCTCCCTATTCTGTTTCATCGATCTGTTAGTCTGTTCTTTCACCAACGCCACAATGTCTTGATAATGCAGCCTTAAGTCGGGTAGTGTCAGTCCTCCAACTTTGTTCTTCTTTAGTATTGTGATGGCTAAATTTTAGAATCAGTTTGTCGATATTCATACATTAACTTGCTGGGATTTTTATTGGGATTAAACTGAATTTATAGATAAAATTGGGAAGAATTGACATTTTAACAATATTGAATCTTCCTATCCACAAGCATGGAATATCTCTCCATTTATTTAGATTTTCTTTAATTTCTCTCATTAGAGTTTTGTGGTTTTCCCTCATATAGATCTTGTACATGTTTTGTTAGGTTTGTACTTATTTAATTTTTGTCAATTTCATTACATTTGCTAATGTAAATGGTGTTCTAAGTTTCAAATTCTAATTTTTTATTGATGGTACATAGGCAAAATATAAAAGCAATTGACTTTTGTATGTTAACCTTGTGTCTTGCAACCTTGCTGTAATTACTTATTAGTTACAGGAGTTTTTGTCATTTTTTTTGGATTTTCTATATAGACAATCATGTCATCTGAGAACAAAGACAGTTTTGGTCATTCCTTCTCAATCTGTGTACTTTTATGTTCTTTTCTTGTCTTGTTACCTCAGCCAGGACTTCCAGTATGATGTTGAAAGTAAGTGGTGAGAGGGGACATCCCTGCCTTCTTTCTAGTCTCAGGATGGAAAGCATCTAGCTTACATTTTTGCAGTCGTTTATCAAGTTGAGGAAGTTCCCCTCCATTCTCAGTTTGTGAGAGTTTTTGTCATAAATGGGTGCTGGATTTTGTCAAGTGCTTTTTCTGCATCTCTTGATAAGATCAGGTGATTTTTCTTCTTTAGCCTGCTGATGTGATGGACTACATTAACTGATTTTCAGTTGTCCAGCCTTGCATACCTGGAGTAAATTCTACTTGGTTGTGGTGTATAATTTTTTAAAGACATTGTTGGATTTGATTTGCTAATACTTTATTGAGGATTTTTGCATCTGTGTTCATGAGAGATATTGTTCTGTAGTTTTCCTTTCTTGTAATGTCTTTGTCTGGTTTTGGAATTAGGCTAATGCTGGCCTCATAGAATGAGGCAGGACGTGTTCTCTCTGCTTCTAGTTTCTGGAATACCTTGTAGAGAACTGGTATCATTTCTTTCTTAAATATTTGGTAGAACTTATCAGTGAAACCCTCTGGGCCTGGAGATTTCTTTTCTGGAAGGTTATTAACACTGATTCAATTTCTTTAATAGTTATATGAAAGTTTTTTTAAGTGGAGAAATTACATTGTTTTCCCTCATTATTAAAGTATATGTGCTTATTGTATGGGCGGTTAAGAAAGAACTACATTAATGGTTTAGCATATTTTTAGATTGAAATGCTTCTCCAAGTATATCCTTAGTCTTATAAAAATATGATCATAGGACGCCAAAAGTTTGCAAACTGAATGTCCATTTAATCTATAAATACATATTTTTCATATTAACAAATAAGAATTCTGAGCCTCCTTTTTTTTTTTTTTTTTTTTGATGAGGGAGATTGGCCCTGGGCTAACATCCATGCCCACCTTCCTCTGCTTTATGTATGGGACACCACCACAGCATGGCTTGATAAGCGGTGCATAGGTCCATGCCTGGGATCCAAACTTGCAAACCCCAGGCCACCGAAGCGGAGCACGCAAACTTAACCACTACGCAACCGGGCTGGACCCCTGAGCCTCATTTTTTTAATTAGCAGTTATTATTCAAGTAAATGGATATATTATCATTTATTTCACCAATGTCCTACTAACAGGCATTTAGTGGGTCTCAGTGTTTTCCCATTACAGACAATACTGCAAAGAATGTTCCTGAATGAGCATCTTGCACCCTTGCCTGATTCTTTGCCAAATTGCTGCCAAGTTACATCAAAAGGCTGTGCCAATTTGCACCCTCAGTGTGAGGGGGTTTATCTCCCACCCTGTGCTCTCAGCCCAGTGAATGTGAGCAGTTACAACTCTTTATAGTGGAGCTGGTCTCCACGTTTTGTAAGCCACTTCATCTCATTTCATGCATACAACGTCCCCGAAAAGTAGATCAGGCAAGTTTTATCATCTCGTTTTGCACACGAAGTAAAACCAGGCAGAGGTCACTGTGGCCAGCCGGTGTGCAGAGCTGCAGCCCAAGCTTCACCCCGTGGATTCATCACCACCTTGCACTTCTGCTGAGATTAAAGAGACCTTGGGGATTCGGTGTGGATGGTTGTGCCTGAAGAGGAGAGGTTCTGATTGGACACGAGGCCCTCCCTGTGAGGTGAGTGTCTGGGGGATGGGGGACAGGGCTTTACCCACGGCAAGTTAACCCCCTAGCATGTGTAGTACAAATGCGACCTTGTGCTCTGTGGGTTTTTGGAGGTAGCCCTCATTAGGCTTTTTTCTTTTAATTCAGAGAGATGTGAAGATGAAAATAAAAAATGGGCAATCTGTGCCTACCTCACCCACTTTCCTCTTCTAGAAAACAAACAAACCTAGTCAGAGTTCAGACAATCAAGGGCACAGGTGCGAGGCCTCCTTCCCCTCGGTGTACTCCTCCCCTAGCCCCTCTCCTAATGGCCCCCTGTCTGCAGCTCTGCTGATCTAGGGTAGACCCCCTCCCTCCCATCCGTTCTCAGATGCCCACTGGGCCTGTGGGGACAGCAGAGACCTTCTCTGGTGAGCGGTCGTGTTGCCTGAGGCCTGGGGCCTCTTTATCAGCCCTTGACCTCTCCACCCCCAGGAA